AACTTTATTAACTTTAACACTAACGGTGGTTAGCTTAGCATCAACACAGCTGCTAACACAAAACAACGGCTTTCTGTCGTCGGGGACTATTTTATAATATTAGCAGCATTTCTTAAGAACTACAGTGGGAGGGGGCGGCCACGTCACTCTGCTCCCTGCCCTGGTGCATTGTGGGTAACTGCTGGTGTTTTATTTCACTTGAACTCTTAAACTGCAGCTCTTCGTCCGTCTAAGTGTCAACAACAACAAATCACAACTTGTGATGAGCACTTTAAGGCCACCGTACAATAATAATAATATAACCTCTGAAGAAGAAGAAGGTCTTTAATGTCACATTAAAGGTAATAAAATAACAAAAACATAAAACAATACACTGAATGATTGTATGGAAGCTCAAAGAAATATAGATTAAATATTACAAATGATTAAAATGATTAAAATGAAATACTGAATAATATATATATTATTGATTTTATAATTATTTATAATTCTGAAATTTACAGTTTTTTATGACTTGTGATTTGTTTGGGGCAGAAAAGGTCTTCCGTACAGAAGAGTGAAGGATGTGAGGAACTCAAAAACAAGGACTCAATAAAAGTTAATAACATTAAACAATAATAAAGCAGCAGAGGAATCTGAACATCATGTGCTTCACATTTATTGAACTGCAGCAGATTTACAGTGAAACAGAAACTGATCAGTGATTGATTACCACAGATAATCTGATCCAGAGCTGAACGCAGCACACACACACTGTATAATGTCTCTGTATACTCAGTGTTTTGATCAGTGTATTGATCAGTGAATAGGTTGTAGTGTAGCTTTGTCCCTCTGCTGTCTGTGGACTGATCTCTATGTGTCTCTATGTAGGATGAGGGTCAAAGAGTCCAACACAGAGTCCACAACACAGAGTCCAACACAGAGTCCACAACACAGAGTCCACAACACAGAGTCCAACACAGAGTCCACAACACAGAGTCCACAACACAGAGTCCACAACACAGAGTCCAACACAGAGTCCACAACACAGAGTCCACAACACAGAGTCCAACACAGAGTCCAAACACAGAGTCCAACACAGAGTCCAACACAGAGTCCACAACACAGAGTCCAACACAGAGTCCACAACACAGAGTCCAACACAGAGTCCAACACAGAGTCCACAACACAGAGTCCAACACAGAGTCCACAACACAGAGTCCACAACACAGAGTCCACAACACAGAGTCCACAAACACAACACAGAGTCCACAACACAGAGTCCAACACAGAGTCCAAACACAGAGTCCACAACACAGAGTCCAACACAGAGTCCACAACACAGAGTCCAACACAGAGTCCACAACACAGAGTCCCCAACACAGAGTCCAAACACAGAGTCCAACACAGAGTCCACAACACAGAGTCCAACACAGAGTCCAACACAGAGTCCCCAACACAGAGTCCAACACAGAGTCCAACACAGAGTCCACAACACAGAGTCCAACACAGAGTCCACAACACAGAGTCCAACACAGAGTCCACAACACAGAGTCCAACACAGAGTCCACAACACAGAGTCCACAACACAGAGTCCACAACACAGAGTCCAACACAGAGTCCAACAGGGAGTCCACAACACAGAGTCCAACAGGGAGTCCACAACACAGAGTCCAACACAGAGTCCACAACACAGAGTCCAACACAGAGTCCACAACACAGAGTCCAACACAGAGTCCACAACACAGAGTCCAACACAGAGTCCACAACACAGAGTCCACAACACAGAGTCCAACACAGAGTCCACAACACAGAGTCCAACACAGAGTCCACAACACAGAGTCCAACACAGAGTCCAACACAGAGTCCACAACACAGAGTCCACAACACAGAGTCCAACACAGAGTCCACAACACAGAGTCCAACACAGAGTCCACAACACAGAGTCCACAACACAGAGTCCAACACAGAGTCCAACACAGAGTCCAACACAGAGTCCACAACACAGAGTCCACAACACAGAGTCCAACACAGAGTCCACAACACAGAGTCCACAACACAGAGTCCACAACACAGAGTCCAACACAGAGTCCACAACACAGAGTCCACAACACAGAGTCCACAACACAGAGTCCAACACAGAGTCCAACGTACGAGAGCGAGCAACCGGACGCTGACTGCAGTTCCCTGAACGTCCACTGGTGGCGCTGTTAAAGACAGTTTAATGACAGTAAAGGTTAGTTTCTGCTCGGGAGAGATAAAGAGTTCATGAAGAACATCGACAGTCTGATTTCATTACAGCCTCCAGAAACCATCGTTACATAACAACACATCATATGGACATTCCTCAGTTACTGCTGGGGGGGTATTTATAGCAGAGAGCAGTACGGAGTAATAATACAGAGCTTACTGAGGCAGGCCTGCTCCTGCTCCTGGTCCTGGTCCTGGTCCTGCTCCTGCTCCTACTCCTGGTCCTGCTCCTGCTCCTGGTCCAGGTCCTGCTCCTGGTCCAGGTCCTGCTCCTGGTCCAGGTCCTGCTCCTGGTCCTGGTTAGATAATAAATGTTGCTAACGTTTTTGTGTCTTTTATTTTTTAACAATCTTCAAAATGTTTGTGTCCAGTAGTTTCCCATGAGCCTCTGCTGTAGTACGGTGGCTGTGGGGGGTCACAGGAACTGAAACTCACATAATCACATATATTGATTATCTGATTAAAGGATTGATCACATTAACTCAGTTTGTTCTCCTGTAACAAACCACAATACATCAGTCCACTGATCAATCAGTCTATTAATCAATTATCTCCTTCCAATAACAACAGTGTGATATTTCAGTTATTTATATTAATAATATTATCAGTACTACGCAAACAAATAAACACCTATTAATCTATTAATAGGTGTTTATTTGTTGTTGCTGTTTGTTTGTTTATTTTGGGACGTCATAGCGACGAGTCTCCGCCCACCTGAGGATCTGCCCTCTGATTGGCTGTCGCGCTGTTCACACAATGATTATTATTATTGTTGCCGACGACGACCCAACGACCCAACGACATGGTGCACATAGCTGCTGTCTGAAAATAGACACACACACACACACACACACACACACACACACACACACTCACACACACTCACACACACACACACACACTTATATCACCTGAGACTGTCGACCTTGGCGGGGAACCACACACACACCGCTGGTTCCTCTCTGTTGGGGATGAATTTAAATGTAACACATAATATCATTAATCATCCTCTGGATCAATATTAATGTGAGTATAGTCACACCGTCAGGATTAAACGCTGTGCTTCCTGTGAGCCGTGGCGTGGCGTTGGATTGGTGTTGGATTGGCCATTTGTTTTGCTTTGAAACAGGATGTTGATCATAACTTCAGCACCAAACTTCAGTCTGATATTATTATCGTGTTCACTCGCAGCGCCCCCCCCCTGGCTACAGGAAGTTACTGGTACTGCAGTGGCTGTGAGCAGATATATGACTTTATATTAAAGTGTAATTAAACTTTATTAAAGAGGAAGAGTTCTTACAGACGACATCTTCGTCTTCAGTGTCTCGATACCACCGCTCATCTGAGTTCACGTACAAACACCTGGTGGGTTTCATTGTTCCATCGTTGCTACACACAAACAAACAAACAAACAAACAGGAGGAAATGTGTTTGTTGTTGCTGTAGTTGGGACTACTTCCAGCGGCGGATGGATCCACAGTTGGTGCTGTAGTGTGTGGCAGCAGGACGGAGTATAAATAAACTACAGTGTGTTCATGGTAACAAATAAAAAACGCCCTGAATGATCCAACTGTTTTACTTTTACATAAAGTCGATTAAAGTGACTCAATTATTCAATTAAAGCTCGCAGCCACATGACCATGAGACTGTGAATGACCTTCAATCAGCCCTCAGACGCAGAGCGTTCACACAGATTACAGAACCAATAATGTTCACCGGTTTTATAGTCGGAGGAAAAGGTTCTACTTTTACTGTCTATTGTTAAATATCAAACCTTTTGTGTCTCTGAGTTGTTTTATATACGACTTCACTGCCACTAGATTTCACACTGGAGCAAAACAACGGGCACCACGACTCACCAGACTCCATTCACAAAACCAGCAATTTAATAATAGATGTATAAAAATAAAATAGACTTTAAACAATAAAACTTCAGTCACAAACACTTTACTGCCCAACGTGAACAACTACAAACACAAACACTGCAAACTCTGTGATATAGTTCTGTGAAATGTTGTGTTTTGCACCTCAGGGCCTCCGTACTCATAATGTTTATAATATATAAGGAGAAAAAGCAAAAATTTCTATATCAAATTCTCACTGCTGAAAATTACTAGTTGAAACAGTTGAAATTTTGAATAGAAGTTTTCTATTCAATTCATGTTTGTTGCCAAGTGTTGTTATTTTTCCACCTCAGGGCCACCGTACTCTGTTGATATTGTTTATTATATTATTTTTCAACTTTAATTAACAATTTTCAGCAGCAAGAACAAAAATATATTTTCCACAAAAAGCAACCTTTTCTAGGAATACGCTCAAAAATAAGTACGGTGGCCTGGAGGGGCAAAACACAACGCATACATTTAAAAAACATAAGAACAATTATTGTTCGTTAATGTATTTTCTTAAATTTTGCTCTTGTTGATGTTGTTAATGCCATATGTTAATATTTTGTCCTTCTGGGCCACCGTACTGACTGAATGTTTATAATATGTATAATCTGAAAACTATAAATTGAAACAGATGAAAATATTATATTATTATATTAAACCATATGTTTTCTGTGTGTTTCCTGATGTTATGAGATTCTGTTGATGTGCTGATAATCATTAGCTGAAACTATGCAGTTATATTTTGCTATATTTACCCCTCGGGCCGCCGTACTGTCCAACCTGCATTAAACTCCGGCCAATAAAGTAAATTTCCATGAGAGAGAGAGAGAGAGAGAGACAGAGACAGAGAGAGAGAGAGAGAGAAAGAGAGAGAGAGAGAGAGAGAGAAAGACAGAGAGAGAGAGAAAGAGAGAGAGAGAGAGAGAGAGAGAGAGAGAGAGAGAGAGAGAGAGAGAGAGTGTCAGTGTCTCTCTACCACCGTGAGAGAAAGATGCAGCGGTTCAAACTTTCCCACATTAAACTGTTGGACCATAAAAGGACAAACGGATCTGAAGCTGCAGTTTAACCCGCAGAGGAGCTCCTGTGTCCGGCTGCAGGCTGTGCGACCGCCCGCTGGGACCCACCGGAACCGAGCTGACCCGCACCTCCACCTGCTGCTGCTGCACGAGCTCCGGCACGAGCTCCCCTCAGCCATGGGATTCACTGGAGGGCACGAGCCCGATCAATACGGCTTCTCACGGATTTATAGAAAAATACTCGGATTGTTTAAATCGCTTTAAAGAGTAAAAAAAGTAAATTAAAGAGTGAATATTAATTAAACATTAAACGATGAGTCTGTGGACTAACGGCTCCTCCGCGGATCTTTACCCCGGGACGGAGGCGCCTCTGCCGGGCTCCAACTCCTCCAGCAACCGCTCAGACGGCTCGCAGCCCCGCGCCGCCCCGTTGGACCTGAGCCGGGCGGTGCCGGTGGGCATGGTGCTCGCATCCTTCATCATGTTCGCCATCGTCGGGAACATCCTCGTCATCTTGTCGGTGGTTTGTAACCGACACCTGCGGATCCCCACCAACTACTTCATCATCAACCTGGCCATCGCCGACCTGCTGCTGGGGACCACCGTGCTGCCGGTGTCCGCCACCCTGGAGGTCAGAATATCGATCACTGATTATTGATTATTGGAGGAGGAGAACGTGCGGATTGTTGTCAGATCAGGGATGGAGAGAAAGAGAGAAAGAAAGAAAGAAAAATGGAAGTTAGTGTCGAAATTAATTGATTATTTATTTTTTTAAACAAGTATTTCACAGAGAGAGAAATACAAACCAAATACAAAGATAAAAGATCAATAAAACAGATTTTACAGGAAGAACAATGATGTTATAAAATATACTGTCAGTTAAAGTTAAACTGAAAACTAATAAAATATTTTAATAAGGAAAAAGGAATAAACACATAAAATCAACAGTATTATTAAGAAAAAGGAAATTCTTTAAATGGATTAACAACATTTAAATGTTATTGTAATTTATATTATTATATCGTATTTATTTAATAAGTGAGGTTGTAAAATATAAGAATATTTCTCTTAATGCTACTTTTAAAAAACAAAAGCAATTCATTGACTAATGAGTCATAAATAAATATTAATTTGTATTACGAATGAAATAAATTAACAATAACATTTGTAAAATGTTTTAATTAATTAGGTGTCTTTAAGTCTCTTGAAAAGCACTTTTTAAGTTAAATGTATAATTAGGATTATTATTATTAATTCTAAAATTATTATTTAATTTTAATGAAGATCAATATAAGCAGCTAATTTACACACACACACACACACACATATATATAAAGAATATATAATAATAATATATAAGTCTTCCTAGTCAATTATCAATAATTAATTAATAATTAATAACTATAACTATAATCACTAATCCAACTGTGATGACAATAAATTACAATCAATAAAAACGTTATTGAAACAATATTTCTTCGTTCTAACTTAAAATATTATATTTGACCGCAGCTTGACCCAATTAATCATTAATCAATACAAGAAAATAATTAATGTTTTGGGGTTTTGTACAAAACATTTGATGAGGTTTTGACTCCAGATTAAATTTTTTCAGTTTTGTGACGTTTTATGAATTAAATGCCTTTTTCACAGCGGCCATTTTGACTTGTAACAGTCGTGTAAACTCAGGCTCCGTTCCCTGACTCTGTCTGGGGATCGATACTGATATTGATTATTAATCAAAGAAACAGATATTTTGGAACCGATATTGCTGTTAATCAACTCAAATGGTATTTTAGATAGATCGGATCCAATAATCAATATATCCCTAGAACCTGAGTTTACCCTAATATTTCAAATGTCAGAATGGCTGCTGTGAAAAAGGCTTAATATGAGAATAAGAAATATTCCCTTAAAATAAAATTAATTTGACTTAAAACCTAAAAATAAAAGTAGTAAAGTTGAAGCAGTGAAACAGGAAGTGGACTCAGGTACTTCCTGTCTGCAGGTTCTGGATTACTGGGTGTTTGGTCGGATCTTCTGTGACATCTGGGCGGCGGTGGACGTCCTCTGCTGCACGGCGTCCATCATGTCTCTGTGCGTCATCTCCATCGACCGCTACATCGGCGTCCGCTACCCGTTGCAGTACCCGATGATTGTCACCGAGAAGCGGGCGCTGCTCGCCATGCTGGGCGTCTGGATCCTCTCCATCGTCATCTCCATCGGGCCGCTGCTGGGCTGGAAGCAGCCGCCATCGCAGGTACTACCCATCATGCACCAGTGATCACATGACATCTGACAGATGCCTTCAACACTTTATTTAATTAATTAAAGATTCTTATTTCTGCTTATTAAACCGTTAAAGTGGTTAAAGATTCCAAATTTAATCTCAGTATTTTTATTTCCTTTATAAACGAGTCATTTACCTAAAAGGGTTTTTGGTGTTAATTGATTAAAGATTTAAAGATAAACTGGTTAAAATATTGTTTTGGTGAGTTTATTTTATTTCATGTTACGATGATCTGAGAGGTAAAATAAGTCTGATGGAAAGCAATACTCATATCAAACAAAAAGAGTATAACATTAAACTGTAGCTAACAGCGCCACCAGTGTTGAATCTGTGTTGTGGACTCTGTATTGTGGACTCTGTGTTGGACTCTGTGTTGGACTCTGTGTTGGACTCTGTGTTGTGGACTCTGTGTTGGACTCTGTGTTGGACTCTGTGTTGTGGACTCTGTGTTGGACTCTGTGTTGTGGACTCTGTGTTGGACTCTGTGTTGGACTCTGTGTTGTGGACTCTGTGTTGGACTCTGTGTTGTGGACTCTGTGTTGGACTCTGTGTTGTGGACTCTGTGTTGGACTCTGTGTTGGACTCTGTGTTGTGGACTCTGTGTTGGACTCTGTGTTGTGGACTCTGTGTTGGACTCTGTGTTTTGGACTCTGTGTTGGACTCTGTGTTGAACTCTGTGTTGTGGACTCTGTGTTGGACTCTGTGTTGGACTCTGTGTTGTGGACTCTGTGTTGTGGACTCTGTGTTGGACTCTGTGTTGTGGACTCTGTGTTGGACTCTGTGTTGAACTCTGTGTTGTGGACTCTGTGTTGGACTCTGTGTTGGACTCTGTGTTTTGGACTCTGTGTTGGACTCTGTGTTGGACTCTGTGTTGGACTCTGTGTTGTGGACTCTGTGTTGTGGACTCTGTGTTGGACTCTGTGTTGGACTCTGTGTTGTGGACTCTGTGTTGGACTCTGTGTTGGACTCTGTGTTGTGGACTCCCTTTTGGACTCTGTGTTGGACTCTGTGTTGGACTCTGTGTTGAACTCTGTGTTGTGGACTCTGTGTTGTGGACTCTGTGTTGGACTCTGTGTTGGACTCTGTTGTGGACTCTGTTGTGGACTCTGTGTTGTGGACTCTGTGTTGGACTCTGTGTTGGACTCTGTGTTGTGGACTCTGTGTTGGACTCTGTGTTGGACTCTGTGTTTGACTCTGTGTTGTGGACTCTGTGTTGTGGACTCTGTGTTGGACTCTGTGTTGTGGACTCTGTGTTGTGGACTCTGTGTTGGACTCTGTGTTGACTCTGTGTTTGACTCTGTGTTGTGGACTCTGTGTTGTGGACTCTGTGTTGTGGACTCTGTGTTGTGGACTCTGTGTTGGACTCTGTGTTGTGGACTCTGTGTTGTGGACTCTGTGTTGTGGACTCTGTGTTGTGGACTCTGTGTTGGACTCTGTGTTGTGGACTCTGTGTTGGACTCTGTGTTGTGGACTCTGTGTTGGACTCTGTGTTGGACTCTGTGTTGTGGTGGGTGTCGGTTGTTTGTAGCCATTAGTGGACTCCATTTATAAGCTTACGTTAGCCAGTGTTGCCCACTGTTGATGTTGGAATCAGTAGTTTGAAGATGATGATCTCTTTCTCGTACTACAGGACGACACCGTCTGCCTCATCACCGAGGAACCTTTCTACGCCCTCTTCTCGTCGCTCGGCTCCTTCTACATCCCTCTCGCCGTCATCCTCGCCATGTACTGCCGCGTCTACATCGTGGCCAAACGCACCACCAAGAACCTGGAGGCCGGCATGATGAAGGAGCGGCAGCAGGACTCCAACGAGCTCACCCTGAGGATCCACTGCAGGAACCAGCAGATCCAGGAGCTGTGCCCCGCCTCCAGGGCTGCAGGGGGCGGAGCCTCGGCCGGACGCAGCACGCTCACCGTCAAACTGCTCAAGTTCTCCAGAGAGAAGAAAGCTGCCAAGACGCTGGGTGTGGTGGTGGGCATGTTCATCCTCTGCTGGCTGCCCTTCTTCCTGGCTCTGCCCATCGGTACGGTCAATCAGTGCTAATCAATGCTTCAGATAACGTAACTAATATATGATCGATTATTATTCACTCACTGTATCTGTGAGGGCGAGCAGCGGGCCACACATCTGGTTCAGATCCATTGTTTTCTTTGAACCAGCAGATAACATGACAGACCTGTCTGCCTGTCTGTCTGCCTGTCTGTCTGCCTGTCTGTCTGTCTGCCTGTGTGTCCATAAATCTGCTGAAAATCTGATTTAGTCACACTGACTCAAAATAAACCAACAGAAACAGAGCTGCTGCAGAGATATTCTCAATAATCTATAATCAATAAACAGTGTATAAACTCTAGAGCTATGTTCTATATGTATATAATGTTTAAATGTACCAAACTATTAAGATTTTATTCTCACTTTGATTTTTAATGAATTATACAAAATAAATCACAACTATCACATTTAAAAAAAAAAAAATGAGCGGAGTTATTAATATACTAATTAAATATATTTGTTAGTGGGAGCGTTGTAACGAGACTCTCTATCTCCCCCTGGTGGCTGACTGCAGTATAGACTCTCTCTCTCTCTCTCTCTCTCTCTCTCTCTCTCTCTCTCTCTCTCTCTGTCTCCCCCTGGTGGCTGACTGCAGTATAGACTCTCTCTCTCTCTCTCTCTCTCTCTCTCTCTCTCTCTCTCTCTCTCTCTATCTCCCCCTGGTGGCTGACTGCAGTGTAGCTCAAAGTTTCTAAAAGTAAAAGATAAATTCCCACATCTAATTCGCAAAACATTTATTAGCAACATTTCAGTCGCAGACCTTCAAGCCATCTTAAAAGGGATTGACTACACAACTGCAAACAGTCATTCATTGATGTTATTGTGTCCAATTTAAGAATAAATAAAGAATAAATACACATTTTCACACACAAAAGACCGAAAAATGCAACTTTATAGACATAAACTTACATTAATGGTGGTTCAACCTGGCGGACCCCGCCATCAGGGTCCTCTTGTAAAGTAACGAAAACACAACGATTCCTATTTTCAGGAGATTCTACACTAATGACGTACCTTTTATATTATATTATATTATACTATATTATATTATATTATATTATATTATATTATACTATATTATATTATATTATATTATATTATATTATATTATATTATACTATATTATATTATATTATATTATACTATACTATACTATACTATATTATATTATACTATATTATATTATACTATATTATATTATATTATATTATACTATATTATATTATATTATATTATACTATATTATATTATACTATATTATATTATATTATATTATATTATACTATATTATATTATATTATATTATACTATATTATATTATACTATATTATATTATATTATATTATATTATACTATATTATATTATATTATATTATACTAAATTATATTATATTATATTATACTATATTATATTATATTATATTATATTATACTATATTATATTATATTATACTATATTATACTATATTATACTATATTATATTATATTATATTATATTATACTATATTATACTATATTATACTATATTATATTATATTATACTATATTATACTATATTATACTATATTATATTATATTATACTATATTATACTATATTATACTATATTATATTATATTATACTATACTATACTATACTATACTATACTATATTATATTATACTATATTATATTATATTATATTATACTATACTATATTATATTATACTATATTATATTATACTATATTATATTATATTATACTATATTATATTATATTATATTATACTATATTATATGATGCTATATTATATTATATTATACTATATTATATTATATTATACTATACTATATTATATTATATTATATTATGCTATATTATATTATATTATACTATATTATATTATATTATATTATATTATATTATACTATATTATATTATATTATACTATATTATATTATATTATACTATATTATGCTATATTATATTATATTATACTATATTATATTATATTATACTATATTATGCTATATTATATTATATTATACTATATTATACTATATTATATTATATTATATTATATTATATTATACTATATTATGCTATATTATATTATATTATACTATATTATATTATAATAAACGACATTAATGGTACACTCTGGAGCTTTAATGTGGACCAACATCTCCATCATTAGGGTCTGAATCTGTTTGTGAAGTCGTCCAATCCTCTGATCACAGGACTGTTTGTGTGTGGCTCAGCGCTCTCAGCTGATATTAAATCGTTTCATTCTCTCGCTTATGAAACCCAAAGGTTGCCTGTAGCCAGAGGGATTGTGGGTAGCTCTGCGGCGTTCAAACTTTTAAGTCAATGTTATTATTACGGCTCCTGTTTGAGGGTAAGAGCAGACCTCAGACAGGAACTCTTCCAGGAACCTTTTTAGGAAATGAGGAAGTTTTAATTCTGAGGTAGGAAAAATGTGCTGACAGGAAACTGCAGAGAACAAAGACCTCAGTGTCCTCCATGTTTACTGTGGGACTGTTTAGTTCAGTGTATGTGTGTACAGTCTTTATTGAGACGTCGCAGAAACACAAACAAATCTTGTTGAGTTTAGAGATCTGTTGGGTTTTAGAGCTTTCTGAGTAAGACGTTCATGATCCCCTCCGAAAGAACTGTAAGAACTTTATTGATCCTCTGACTATTCAATGACATTCCCATCAGCCTCAGCAGCACTTTGTATAAACATTATTCCTGCTGAACATCAGCGTGTTAGCATGTGGATGTGCCCCTTTTTCTCTGTGGTCCAATCACAGTTCAGCAAGCCTCAGTCAACTTCCTGCTTTCTTGTACTTAGATATGCTAAGCTAGGCTAATCCATGTTGAAAAGACATTCACATTTTAAGGATGGTTAAAAGATAAAAGAGACATTCATATAGTTAATTGAATTAGCTAATGTTAGCATTGTGTTAGCTAACTAGCTACATATGGTCACATCTTAAGTTAAAAGTTAAAATCACTGAATGAGGTTATAAAGTTTTTTGCTTTTATACAGGAATGTCCAGAAATACTCACATCTGTGTCTCATGTGTGGTCTAAAACAAGAAATTCAGGTTAAACAGATTAAAAACAACCAACATTTATCTTGTGAAAAGAAATGATGTACCTGTTAATTTGCATGTAGAGCAGGAAAAGAGGTCTGATCACTAGATGTTTAATACCAGGTGTAAACACGGCCTCAGAGAAGATCTCAGATCAGTGTTTTCTTGCATTCATTGTCTTTGACAGTCAGCTCAGTCTTTATAAACAGCTCTCTGTCCAACTGGACTGATCCGGGCTCAGCTCTAATCTGTGATATCAGCTGGGGGGGGAATGTCTGGCGTCGCTCCACCGCCCGTATTGTGGGAAACCATCACAGAAAATAAAGGACTTCCTGCACTGATCTCCTCTATGTCACTGACTCAATTCTGGGTTCTTGTCCCAGAAACGCTGGCTGCTGATTGGTCACTGATGTGGGACCTGAAGCATCGCTGTTCAGACCAAATATTTAAAATATGAGAAAAAACAAAAATAATCTGCCTTTTCTGGAAAGTGTTTCTCACCACGTGGTTTACTGGATAACAGCTAACAGACTGATGCTAAAGCTAACAGGTCCCAGATTTTGATACCATGCTAACAGACTGAGCCGAGCTGCTGCTAACGTTAGCTCAGCTTGTTTCTCTGATAACTTTAGATCCAGACATTCGATGACTAAAACCCTTCATCCGGTTCAAATCTTGAGATAAAAAGCACCAAGATCTAAACAGTGGATGGTAAACAGTCAGTGTATGACAGCTTCTGGCAGACAACCACAACGCTGACGCAGGAACAAAGTGGATATGACGCCACTGACAGGTGATTTAGGGACAATGTGTGTCTGTGATGAGCTGAATATAAAGTCATCTCTGTACTGACTTCCATTCATGCTCAGTGTCTCAGTGATGCAGAGTATGTGCTGAGTCATGATCTGCATTGCGTCCTCAGTAAATCAGCAGTGAGGACGGACACACTGCATGACTGCTTTTATTTCCTGAGGAAGATCTACTGAATGAGAAAACGACTTTACAGTTGGTCCTCAAGGTCTTTACGCAGTTCAGAATCAGATTTTAGTCATTTCAAGGTCCGGATACAAGACAAAAAACGCAATATGATACCCTATGACATGGTACGACACGATATGATACGATACGATACGATTGCGGTACTGTGAGGTATAATGTGGTACTGTGAGGTATGATACGGTACTGTAAGGTACGATTGCGGTACTGTAAGGTACAATTGCGGTACTGTGAGGTATAATGTGGTACTGTGAGGTACGATTGCGGTACTGTAAGGTACAATTGCGGTACTGTGAGGTATGATGTGGTACTGTGAGGTATGATGTGGTACTGTAAGGTACGATTGCGGTACTGTAAGGTACAATTGCGGTACTGTGAGGTATGATGTGGTACTGTGAGGTATGATGTGGTACTGTAAGGTACATTGCGGTACTGTAAGGTACGATTGCGGTACTGTGAGGTACGATGTGGTACTGTGAGGTACAATGTGGTACTGTAAGGTACGATGTGGTACTGTGAGGTACAATGTGGTACTGTAAGGTACGATGTGGTACTGTGAGGTACGATACAATACTCTGAGGTACGATGTGGTACTGTTTGGTATGATGTGGTACTGTAAGGTACGATTGCGGTACTTTAAGGTACGATGTGGTACTGTTTGGTACGATGTGGTACTGTAAGGTACGTTGTGGTACAGTAAGGTACGATTGCGGTACTGTAAGGTACGATGTGGTACTGTAAAGTACGATGTGGTACTGTTTGGTACGATGTGGTACTGTAAGGTACGATGTGGTACTGTGAGGTACGATACAATACTCTGAGGTACGATGTGGTACTGTTTGGTATGATGTGGTACTGTAAGGTACGTTGTGGTACAGTAAGGTACGATTGCGGTACTGTAAAGTACGATGTGGTACTGTAAAGTATGATGTGGTACTGTTTGGTACGATGTGGTACTGTAAGGTACGATGTGGTACTGTAAAGTATGATGTGGTACTGTTTGGTACGATGTGGTACTGTAAGGTACGATGTGGTACTGTAAGGTACGATTGCGGTACGATAAGATTTGACTTTTGCAGGATGTTTCGAGCACTGAACACTGAAACGAACAGGCTGATGTCAGTCTTTATTGTCTGTAATTTAACATCAGTGTGACTGAAACCACAAAGTCAACAACACACTCTACGTTAGATAAAAACAGCAAAGAAGAAGTCTGGACTGTCCTCAGCAGTGAATGAACTCTATTAAACCAGAACAGCTTTGTTTACACGGAGAATCACCAAACTTGGAGTTTTTTACAGGACAGTGATGCATTGTGGTCAGATGTCACATGTTGTTCCCATGACGGAGGTCAGATTCTTCATATATAGTCAGGGAGCACAGCCTGGGGCTCAGGATGCCTTACAAGTCCATGCTGAGGGAGAAATAATCTCTCTGCTCAAGAGTTATCTGAAAACCATCAAAAACCTGATCCATGAAAATCCACCAAAGTCCTCTGAAAACCTCAAACATGCTGCGGATCCACTGCCTGCAGGTTGGGGCCTCCTCAGGGGAGAGGAGAGAAGAACAGAGGACAGAGGAGAGAGGAGAGGGAGAGAGGAGAGAAGAACAGAGGAGAGCGGAGAAAGGAGGGAAGAGAGAGGAGGAAGAGGAGAGAGGAGGGGGGACAGAGGAGAGAGGAGGAAGAAGAGAGAGGAGGAAGGGGAGAGAGGAGAGAGGAGGTAGAGGAGAGAAGAACAGAGGAGGGAGGAGGGGGAGGAGAGAGGAGGGAGGAGAGAGGAGGGAGGAGAGAGGAGAGAGGAGGGAGGAGAGAGGAGAGAGGAGGGAGGAGAGAGGAGGGAGGACAGAGGAGGAAGAGGAGAGAGGAGGGAGGAGAGAGGAGAGAAGAACAGAGGAGAGAGGGAGAGAGGGAGGAAGGAGAGAGGAGAGAGAGGAGGGAGGAGGGAGGAGAGAGGAGGAAGAGGAGAGAGGAGAAAGGAGGAAGAGGAGAGAGGAGGGGGGACAGAGGAGAGAGGAGGGAGGACAGAGGAGGGAGGAGAGAGGAGAGAGGGAGGGAGGAGAGAGGAGGGAGGACAGAGGAGAGAGGAGGAGGGAGGAGAGAGGAGGGAGGACAGAGGTGGAAGAGGAGAGAGGAGGGAGGAGAGAGGAGAGAAGAACAGAGGAGAGAGGAGAGAGGAGGAAGGAGAGAGGAGGAAGAGGAGAGAGGAGGGGGGACAGAGGAGAGAGGGGGAAGAGGAGAGAGGAGGGAAGAGAGAGGACAGAGGAGGAAGAAGAGAGAGGAGGAAGGGGAGAGAGGAGAGGGGAGGTAGAGAGAGAGGAGAGAGGAGGGAGGAGAGAGGAGAGAGGGGAGGGAGGAGAGAGGAGTTAGGACAGAGGAGGGAGGAGGGAGGAGAAAGGAGAGAGAGGAGGGAGGAGAGAGGAGAGAGGAGGAAGAGGAGGGAGGAGAGAGGAGGAAGAGGAGAGAGGAGAGAGGAGAGAGGAGGAAGAGGAGAGAGGAGGGGGGGACAGAGGAGAGAGGAGGAAGAGGAGAGAGGAGGGAGGAGAGAGGACAGAGGAGGAAGAAGAGAGAGGAGGGAGGAAAGGGAGAGAGGAGAGAAGAACAGAGGAGAGAGGAGGGAGGAGAGAGGAGAGAGGAGGAAGAAGAGGGAGGAGAGAGGAGAGAGGAGAGAGGAGGAAGAGGAGAGAGGAGGAAGAGGAGAGAGGAGAGAGGAGGAAGAGGAGAGAGGAGGGGGGACAGAGGGGAGAGGAGGAAGAGGAGAGAGGAGGGAGGAGAGAGGACAGAGGAGGAAGAAGAGAGAGGAGGAAGGGGAGAGAGGAGAGAAGAACAGAGGAGAGAAGTGGAGGAGAGAGGAGGGAGGAGAGATCGCCCCAAAGCCCTTGTTTGTGCTCAGGCATACAAAGCAGTTCAATAATCTATCATCCTGATCAGTAATCAATAAAACATTAATCAAACTGATACCGTCAGACAACCTAATTGATCATCATGGTGATGAAGTTGTTACTCTTCAGTTCAGTTCAATTTTATTTGTATGTCACCAATTCATAACAGAAGTTATCTCAGGACACTTTTCAAATAGAGCAGGTCTAGACCGAACTCTTTATAACATTAATTACAGAGACCCAACAGTACCACCATGAGCAAGACCTTGGAGACAAGGGCAAGGAAACACTGCCTGTTAAAAGGCAGAAACCTCGAATAGACCGAATAATGAACAGCTGATGTGTCTGACTGACTGTTTCTGTTCCAACCTTCCTGTAATCAGAGTCTGTGGACTAATCTGTTTGTTTGTTTGTTTGTTTGTTTGTTTGTTTGTGTTCAGGCTCGTTCAACAGCAGCCTGCGTCCTCCTGAAACCTTCTTTAAAGTCATTTTCTGGTTGGGATACTTCAACAGCTGCCTGAACCCCATCATCTACCCCTGCTACAGCCGGGAGTTCAAACAGGTAATAATACTGCTAATAATACCTGCTAATAATACCTTTTTGTTTTGTGGCGTGTTGCTGTAGTGGCGTGTTGGTGTTTGTGGAGTGTTGCTGTGGTGTTGCTGTAGTGGCGTGTTGGTGTTTGTGGAGTGTTGCTGTTTGTGGCGTGTTGCTGTTTGTGGAGTGTTGCTGTAGTGGCGTGTTGGTGTTTGTGGAGTGTTGCTGTAGTGGCGTGTTGCTGTTTGTGGCGTGTTGCTCTAGTGGCGTGTTGCTGTTTGTGGAGTGTTGCTGTAGTGGCGTGTTGCTGTTTGTGGAGTGTTGCTGTAGTGGCGTGTTGCTGTTTGTGGCGTGTTGCTGTAGTGGCGTGTTGCTGTTTGTGGAGTGTTGCTGTAGTGGCGTGTTGCTGTTTGTGGCGTGTTGCTGTTTGTGGAGTGTTGCTGTAGTGGCGTGTTGCTGTGGTGGCGTGTTGCTGTAGTGGCGTGTTGCTGTGGTGGCGTGTTGCTGTAGTGGCGTGTTGCTGTTTGTGGCGTGTTGCTGTTTGTGGCGTGTTGCTGTTTGTGGAGTGTTGCTGTTTGTGGAGTGTTGCTGTAGTGGCGTGTTGCTGTTTGTGGAGTGTTGCTGTAGTGGCGTGTTGCTGTGGTGGCCTGTTGCTGTGGTGGCCTGTTGCTGTGGTGGCGTGTTGCTGTAGTGGAGTGTTACCGTAGTGGTGTGTTGCAGTAGTGGTGTGTTGCTGTAGTGGCGTGTTGCTGTTTGTGGCGTGTTGCTGTAGTGGCGTGTTGCTGTTTGTGGAGTGTTGCTGTAGTGGCGTGTTGCTGTGGTGGCGTGTTGCTGTAGTGGCTTGTTGCTGTGGTGGCGTGTTGCTGTTTGTGGAGTGTTGCTGTAGTGGCGTGTTGCAGTTGTGGCGTGTTGCTGTGGTGGCGTGTTGCTGTAGTGGCATGTTGCAGTTGTGGCGTGTTGCTGTAGTGGCGTGTTGCTGTGGTGGCGTGTTGCTGCTTGTGGAGTGTTGCTGTGGTGGCGTGTTGCTGTGGTGGCGTGTTGCTGTAGTGGCGTGTTGCTGTTGTGGCGTGTTGCTGTTTGTGGAGTGTTGCTGTGGTGGCGTGTTGCTGTAGTGGAGTGTTGCTGTAGTGGCGTGTTGCAGTTGTGGCGTGTTGCCATGGTGGTTCTGTGAGGGGCTAACGTGTTGCGTGTCGTTGTGTGTTCAGGCGTTCATCCGGATCCTCCGCTGTCGGTGGAAGAGGAAGCGTCAGGGCTGGCAGGCGTACTACAACTACCGCTGCCAGCAGGGCTCAAACAACTCGTCCTTCCTGAACGGCAGCCAGCAGACGCTGTCCTCCATCAGCCCCAGCCCGCGCTGCGTTGCCTCCAGACTCCGCCCCCCGCCATGGCCTTCCTCTTCAGACAGAGAACTCCTTCCAGGATCGGCAGTCAGAGGACGGCCGAGCCCGGTGTCCCCGCTCGCTAAGGATGCTGGGACAGGCAGCGCGGGGCGCGGGGTGGTGAGGAACGGTCGGAGCGTAAACAAAGAGGAGCAACAAGCCACCTCAGAGTAACCTGCTGCCTCAGGTGGCCACGCCCCCGAGAGATATGCACACGTATCACTGCTGCTGTCAGGTGGTTGTGACTGTTCCCGCCTCCTCACCTGAACCACTGACCTCGGTACACAAACTGTTTGTACCAGCGGGTGGTTTCACCTCCACTGCACATGTGCAGCAGAAACACCGAATGAAACTATTAAAAAGCATCTTAAATTAAAAATGGATCCAGTGTTCCTCAAATTAAAATGAATCAAAATAAGCGTAACAGGAAACTAATTACATGTAATATATCTGAAAGTAGTGCAAACATTTTTTTTTATACTTTCACTTTTTGCTGTGTCGTTTCTTTAATGTGGAAATAAATTCATTATTAATTTAACTCTTAAAATTAAAATCAATTAAAATCACAGTAAATCTAATAATGAAATTACACTGAAAACATTTTTTTGTACATTTATTTATTGTTGAGTCATTTTCTTCTTTATTTATTATGTTAAAAAGCTCAAACTCCTAAAATTAAGGAGTAAAAGTCAACAGGGAGCCGAACGGTGGAAAATAATTGGAAATTTAAAGGTCATTTTGAGACTTATATATATGATATATAATATTTTATTATATTTATTTATTGTGATGTAAAAATAGTTTTTTGTTGGTTAAACCTTTTAAAATCACGAGACTTTCACTGCTTGTTAGCATTGAGCTAACAAGCTAACTTACTTATGATGATAGCTTGCATGCTAAGCTCTAGCTAAACAAAGTATCTTCTTTCTTTTATTTGTTTATTATTTAAAGTGCTAAAGAAAAGTTACAATTAATTCAAAGTCAAAAACTAAAGAGAAACAGGAAACTTAATAAAATAAAACACTATATATTTAGCAAACAATTAGAACAAAATGCTAGCTAACTAGTTAGCTTGTTCATATCAATCATTAGCTAGCTAGCTAACAGAGTAAAGGGTTGCTAACCTGCTAGTTGTAGAGTAGATTAGCAAATTAATGATTGATTATAGATTAACTCTAAATCCACCCAGAGTTGGATCACAGCAGCACCTAGTGGACGTCAGAGGAAGTGCAGCTGGTTGGTGTGAACAGTGTTTTTATATCTGTGTGTGTGTGTTATTGATGACTGATTGATGATCAGGTTGGATCAATACTGAAACACCATCCGTCCATCAGACAGAGCTGAAGGTGTAGTTCTGTTGTTGATGGAGCTAGGCTAACCGTTTCCCCCTGCTCCCAGTCTTTATGCTAAGCTACGTTAATGCTGTGGACCAATCTCTGTCATTAAAAACAATAAAAGTGTTTGTGCTGCTGCTAACAGGTGCTAACAGCTAATCCAGTTTATGGAGCCAACGTAAACACCACCAATAATAATAATAATAATAATAATAATAATAATAATAATAACACAAATACATTGGGGTTTCTGTTTGTTGTGATTGTTTCTATTGTAAATATCTACGAAGGATTTTATCTGAATAACAATAAAATGTTCTTTAAGTCAATAAACAATAATCAGATTTAAAAGTTAAATATTATTAAATAAAAACAAGAACAAAGTTTAACTGTTTTATATTTTAGCCTCCGTTTGATTCAAAGACATTAAAGTTAGTTTGTGAATTCATCAACATTTTATTATTAATAAACTTTATTTCACCACATTGAGTTTAATAAACCGATGTTGACTGTCTCTACACAGAGTGCTCCTCCTCCTCCTCCTCCTCCTCCTCCTCCTCCTCTTCCTCCTCCTCCTCTTCTTCCTCCTCCTCCTCCTCCTCCTCCTCCTCTTCCTCCTCCTCCTCCCTCCTCCTTCTTCCTCCTCCTCCTCCTCTTCCTCCTCCTCCTCTTCTTCCTCCTCCTCCTCCTCTTCCTCCTCCTCCTCCTCCTCTTCCTCCTCCTCTTCTTCCTCCTCCTCTTCCTCCTCTTCCTCCTCTTCCTCCTCCTCCTCCTCCTCCTCTTCCTCCTCCTCTTCTTCCTCCTCTTCCTCCTCCTCCTCCTCTTCCTCTTCCTCCTCCTCTTCTTCCTCCTCTTCCTCCTCCTCCTCCTCTTCCTCCTCCTCCTCCTCCTCCTCTGATTGGTTGAGCCTCCTGTCAGTTCTCCTACAGAGTCCTGAGAGATCAATAATGTGTGTGTGTGTGTGTGTGTGTGTGTGTGTGTGTGTTACAGTATGTGTGTGTGTGTGTGTGTGTGTGTTACTGTGTGTGTGTGTTACAGTGTGTGTGTTACAGTGTGTGTGTGTGTGTGTGTGTGTGTGTGTGTGTGTGTGTGTTACAGTGTGTGTGTGTGTGTGTTACAGTGTGTGCGTGTTACAGTGTGTTACAGCGTGTGTGTTACAGTGTGTGTGTGTGTGTGTGTGTGTGGGTTACAGTATGTGTGTGTGTTACTGTGTGTGTTACAGTGTGTGTGTGTGTGTGTGTGTGTGTGTGTGTTTACAGTGTGTGTGTGTGTGTGTGTGTGTGTGTGTGTGTGTGTGTGTGTGTGTGTGTGTGTGTGTGTTACAGTGTGTGTTACAGTGTGTGTGTGTGTGTGTGTGTGTGTGTAGTGTGTGTGTGTTACAGTGTGTGTGTGTGTGTGTGTGTTACAGTGTGTGTTACAGTGTGTGTGTGTGTTACAGTGTGTGTTACAGTGTGTGTTACAGTGTTAGTGTGTGTGTTACAGTGTGTGTTACAGTGTGTGTGTACAGTGTGTGTGTGTTACAGTGTGTGTGTTACAGTGTGTGTTTACAGTGTGTGTGTGTTACAGTGTGTTACAGTGTGTGTTACAGTGTGTGTGTTACAGTTTACAGTGTGTGTGGTGTTACAGTGTGTTACAGTGTGTGTGTGTTACAGTGTGTGTTACAGTGTGTGTACAGTGTGTGTGTGTTACAGTGTGTTACAGTGTGTTAAGTGTGTGTTACAGTGTGTGTGTTACAGTGTGTGTGTGTTTACAGTGTGTGTTACAGTGTGTGTGTTACAGTGTGTGTTACAGTGTGTGTGTGTGTGTGTTACAGTGTGTTACAGTGTGTGGTGTGTTACAGTGTGTTAAAGTGTGTGTGTTACAGTGTGTGTTACAGTGTATGTGTTACAGTGTGTTACAGTGTGTGTTACAGTGTGTGTTACAGTGTGTTACAGTGTGTGTGTGTTACAGTGTGTTACAGTGTGTTACAGTGTGTGTGTTACAGTGTGTTACAGTGTGTGTGTGTGTGTGTGTTACAGTGTGTTACAGTGTGTGTGTGTTACAGTGTGTGTGTTACAGTGTGTGTTTACAGTGTGTTACAGTGTGTGTGTGTTACAGTGTGTGTTACAGTGTGTGTGTTACAGTGTGTGTGTGTTACTGTGTGTTACAGTGTGTGTGTGTTACAGTGTGTGTTACAGTGTGTGTGTTACAGTGTGTGTTACAGTGTGTGTGTGTGTTACAGTGTGTGTTACAGTGTGTGTTACAGTGTGTGTTACAGTGTGTGTGTTACAGTGTGTTACAGTGTGTGTGTTACAGTGTGTGTTACAGTGTGTTACAGTGTGTGTGTGTTACAGTGTGTTACAGTGTGTGTGTTACAGTGTGTGTGTTACAGTGTGTTACAGTGTGTGTTACAGTGTGTGTGTTAAAGTGTGTGTACAGTGTGTGTTACAGTGTGTTGTTACAGTGTGTGTTACAGTGTGTTACAGTGTGTGTTACAGTGTGTTACAGTGTGTGTGTGTTACAGTGTGTTACAGTGTGTTACAGTGTGTGTGTTACAGTGTGTTACAGTGTGTGTGTGTGTGTGTGTGTGTTACAGTGTGTTACAGTGTGTGTGTGTTACAGTGTGTGTTTACAGTGTGTTACAGTGTGTGTGTGTTACAGTGTGTGTTACAGTGTGTGTGTTACTGTGTGTTTACAGTGTGTGTGTGTTACAGTGTGTGTTACAGTGTTACTGTGTGTTACAGTGTGTGTGTGTTACAGTGTGTGTTACAGTGTGTGTTACAGTGTGTGTGTTACAGTGTGTGTGTTACAGTGTGTGTGTTACAGTGTGTGTTACACAGTGTGTGTGTGTTACAGTGTGTTACAGTGTGTGTGTTACAGTGTGTTACAGTGTGTGTGTGTTTACAGTGTGTGTGTTACAGTGTGTGTTACAGTGTGTGTGTGTTACAGTGTGTTACAGTGTGTGTTACAGTGTGTGTTACAGTGTGTTACAGTGTGTGTTACAGTGTGTGTTACAGTGTGTTACAGTGTGTGTGTGTTACAGTGTGTTACAGTGTGTGTGTTACAGTGTGGTGTTCAGTGTGTGTGTGTTACAGTGTGTTACAGTGTGTGTGTGTGTTACAGTGTGTTACAGTGTGTGTTACAGTGTGTTACAGTGTGTGTTACAGTGTGTTACAGTGTGTGTGTGTTACAGTGTGTGTTACAGTGTGTTACAGTGTGTGTTACAGTGTGTTACAGTGTGTGTGTGTTACAGTGTGTGTTACAGTGTGTTACAGTGTGTGTGTGTTACAGTGTGTGTGTACTGACTGTGAGCAGCAGTCAGCAGCAGTGCAGCTATGAAGATGATGAAGAAGACTCTCAGTGTGTTTCTGATGAAGATCTGCAGACTGTTTACCTGCTGGAGGAGGAAGAGGAGGAAGAGGAGGATTGATGAGCTGAATCTGCTCACAGAGTTTAATGTGAATGTTCATTCTGGGTCTCCAGCTGTTACACTGACTGATGCTAAGCTGCATATGTTGGACAGTTAGCATCATTAGCATCATTAGCATTGATAATCAGCTATATGGACGATATCTCAGCAGCTGATTGGCTGATTCAGTGTGAGGAGAACTAACAGGGCTAACAAGCTAACGCTGTTGTCGTCATCATCTTTGTGTTCATCATCATCAGTCACTACCATTAGTGGTAAATGGTAAATGGAGCTGTACTTGTATAGTTTCCTTTCTAGTCTTCCGACCACTCAAAGTGCTTTTACACTACAGACACATTCACCCTTTCACACACATTCACTCAGTGATGGTCCAACAAACAGAAACTAACTCATTCATACACACTCACTCACACACCGATGATCGATCGAACCAACAACCTTCCGATAAGGGGACGACCCGCTCTGCCTCTGAGCCACATCCGACCTAGTGTAGTTGTTGCTACTGTTGTCTGTCTCTCTCTCTCTCTCTCTCTCCCCACCCACCTAGAGCCGGAGGATCTGTCCTAGGTTTCTGCCTTTTAACAGGCAGTGTTTCCTTGCCCTTGTCTCCAAGGTCTTGCTCATGGTGGTACTGTTGGGTCTCTGTAATTAATGTTATAAAGAGTTCGGTCTAGACCTGCTCTATTTGAAAAGTGTCCTGAGATAACTTCTGTTATGAATTGGCGCTATACAAATAAAATTGAATTGAATTGAATATATAATATATAATCAGTGTTGGGCAAGTTACTTTTAAAAAGTAATTAGTTACAGTTACTAGTTATTCTTCCAAAAAGTAACTCAATTAGTTACTCAGTTACAAATTATAAAAGTAACTAGTTACTTCAGAAAGTAACTATTGCATTACTTTCAAGTCAATTTTTAAATGCTGCAATGTGACCCCACCTCCACCCCTCTTTAACGGAACTTAAAATACACGTGCATGTTCAATTATTTATGATAAATCTGAATATTATAATGAGATGGACACTTAATACAATCCATTATTAACACAAACAATGTACACAAATCTAAACTATTTTAATGTTGCTGTGGGACAAAGTGAGACTAGCCTCCGATCAAATGCCATGTATGTAGATATTATGTTTATATAGTGGATCCATACAAATAACACAATAGATGTTTTGGAACTTTTGATATTTATTGCCCCTCAACAGGCCACAACTGGGCAAAATTAAATTATGCTTGTTAAGTACTATACCAAAAATAAATAACAAATACTTCCATTTAGAGAAGGCTACTTTTGGATTATTTGGGCTCGCCATACCGGTCTCTCGTTGACTGACTCGATTGTGTTGTTCGTTGTGTGTCAGGCTATGCGTGCTTTCGAACACCCGTCCAACTCTACCTCTGATTGGCTTACCATGAAATTTTACTCAACATCAGCCAATCGTCAGCATTTATACGCTTGTCTCGTGCACTGCCCACTAACCAAGGAAGAACAGTAAAAAAAAGTATTTGCCTCTCAGCTCAGAGATCTAGTTGGTCTGATGAAAAAAACAGCTTCAATTATAGTAACGTGCCACATTGTTTGGCAGTAACGGTAACGGCCTTATGAAGATGGGAAGAGTAATCAATTAGATTACTTGTTACTGAAAAAAGTAACACCGTTAGTAACGCCATTACAACGCACTAAAGGCTGAATACTGTAATATATAGTATTTATATTTATATATTAATATACAGAGCTTCACCTATAAACAGTAATAAAGAACATTATTGATTATCTATACTGAACGAGGGGAGGAGCTAAACAGCCGTTTATGATCAATGATCTATTTATGGACTCATTGATCGAGTTCATTCATCTGTGATCAATGATTGATCTCAGTGATTGATCTCAGTGATTGATATCAGTGATTGATAATAGTGATTGATATCAGTGATTGGTGTTTGTTCCTTTGTGTAAATGTTCAATGTGAATAAAGATTCAAACTGTGAGTTATTTAGTGGTGCTGCTCATTCTTTCATCCACAGTCTGAACACACTCACAGTTCAACCTCACAGCGACATTATTGTGAAAATCCCGTTGAGCAGGAAGCTGGAGGAGCTGGTCTGTGATTGGTGGATGGGAGAGTGTGTATATGAGCCCGGGTTGAAGCTCCGCTGCGGTATTACGGACTGTGAGAGGATGTCTGGAAGAGGTATGGGTGCCGGTCCTCCCTGGCCGGGCTGCAGTTCCCCGCCGGCCGTGTCCACAGGCTGCTGAACCACCACCGAGACACAACAACGGTTCTTTTAAAGGCCCGGACACACCAACCCGATTACCCGACAGAGAAGACACCTAGGCAGCAGTACATACTGCGGAGGTTGCAGTTTCTGGAGCCACATACAAAGAGGAAAGAAAGTGTATCCAACCTCACCTACATGGTATGAACTTTCACTCTCCAAACAAATAGTACTCATTTGGCCTCTCATGAAGCCCATGTAATGTTCACAATGGACTTCACACATATTCTTATCCAAAAATTTCAGTTTTGTTTTGCCTAACTGACAAAATGTGCTGCTTTTCTTGTGAATGCATTAATTCCATGATATTAAATCCACTCTTGTGATTTTTTTAGGAACCACCCACCACTACTGACACCAGTTCAGGCGCCACTGTTGCCACTGTTGCCACTGATGCCTCAGACAACAGCCTGGATGAGACGCCTTTTCACCTGCCGATTGCTGAATCCACTGTTTTTGACCCAGGCTTTGAGTCAACCAGCACGTCACCTGGAAGCCTGCGAGTGCTTTGTGCAAAGCGCAGCAGAAAGTCAAGCAAGGATGAGCTGGCAGACACATCTATGGGACTGATGCGCACAATACAGACAGCGCTTCACAGAATGTCTGCAGAGGCCAGCAAACCTGACTTTATTGCTGTGGCCTGCCAAGGCATCGAACACAAATTTAGAATGGTGCCCCCACATCTCCTGCCTCGATTGGAGAACAGGGTTCCGAATGTAATCTTTAACTTTTTGGAGGAGCACAACCTGGACACACACACAAATGACACTATTCAATTTGTGCTTTTCCCTTTTATGTGTCATACATTTCATACTTTTATACATTGCACTTTGGAAAAGCAAATGTCCCTGTATTTTTTTACAGTCCTTATGATGATGATGATGATAATATTAATACAAATGATGTGGAACTTGTGAGTTTAAACACAATCCACTTATGGTCTGGGCATGGTGGTCTGGTCCTCTATTCACATGTAATCTTTCATACAGAAACCACATTAACATTACAGTATGGGGAACTTGTGAACACATTCCATGATCTACTTCCCCATTAACAACTTATTCTGCAACAATGTCTTGCTACTCTCAATGTAATGTGAGTCACCTTCACCCCATTTCAACATAGTCTACACATACAGCTATGCCAAGGTACTTCACACTATTATTGTCTGCTATAACAGGCCATGAACTGCTCAGTGTTCCATTCCACTGATACTGATAAATGCAGATTTATGAGAACATTATGATTAGACTTTGCACATTCCATTATCCCCTGACCAAAAACTATCCATTATGTTTCCAACATCTATGACTAGTGTGTGGACTTTGTGGTGATAATGATACAGTAGGCCATTATGATTGATATGATTTTTATTGATCCTCCTTTACACACGGACAATCTGTCCTATATCTTGTCCCATTGAAAAGGCACTGCACCAGTATCAGGCATGAAATAACAACATAGTTCATCCCTGATCTGTTTGGCCCTTGCTGCTGCATTGGTGGTTTGTGGCAGGGGGGCTTGTTGTAGGGCAGGGGCTTGTCTCCATCTTCCTTCAATAATCTCTCTATCTGGTCCTTCCTGGTCCACAATGTCTGCCATGTATGCATCGCTGCCCTCACTCTGTAGAAAGTTATGCAGAGTGTCCTTAATTTTCGCCGGCGACATCTTTCTTCTTCCACAACAAGAAGCCCGAGAGCTGACAACACCAGTATCTTCTTATTATTAGCCATCGTATTTTCCGTTCATCGACAATAACGATCCTTCTTGACTACTATCAGCACTCTCTGATGAAAACAATGACTGACGACAGCGTGCTCTGTGTGTACTAGGACTAGAGTGAGCCGTCATTTCCGGTTTTCATTTTATTAGCGCCACCTGCCGTTATAGGGACGTATTACGCCTCGCTCACGCGCAGAACGTACGCTCCAGTCGGTGTCAGTTTGGTGTGTTCGGAGGCACTTTTTTGGCCGACATAGGGAGACGGGAGCCGACTGATCAGTCCGACTGCTTTCCTGCTGGCGGTCGGCCGTCAGGTTGGTGTGTCCTGGCTTAAGAGCCACAAACCTCCGATACAGAGCCACAGTCCACTTTATTATTTATAGATACATAAACAGAGATATTTAACTTAAGATTCATTATAGACAAACACATATTTATTTAACATTTTATTTTTTATTTTAACATTTTACTGATCAAGCTGATTAAGTATTTGACTGATAAACAAAGTATAAAGCAACAAGACCTATTAAAACCTATATTTCACATGTTAAAACAACATAAAAACACAAAATAATTCCAATTTAAATAATAAAAAACTGAAGTTAAGATTAAAATAAACAGTGTGAAGAGTAGTGTCAGACTGCTCCACTGCTCTCAGATAAATTACATAATATTATATAATACCGATAATGAAGTCTCGAGCACATTGTACTGTAACTATAGACACAAATATATGTCATGTTCAATATAATCTGAGCCATATTCAGTGTATTCATATAAATAACACCTTTCAATGGGATACATGTGTTATTTTAAGGTCTTAGCATACTTATACTTTATTGAGTTGGCTAAAGTAACACATATAAATTAACTAATGCTGAAGATATTATAGATATTATAGATAAAATATTACTTTCACCACTATTATCTACCTGGATATTGTCTGTTAATGACCGCTGCCTCTGGGTCTGTCGGGGGTTTCTCTCCTCCTCTCTCCGTTTCTGAAGCTCTGTATTATTATTATTATTATTATTATTATTATTATTAATGTTATTATTATATTTTCTGTTGAATGAGTGTGAGTGAGGACACTTTAATGGAGACTGCCAGCTCTCTATGAACACTGCTGCTCTAAAGTCACAAAGACATTGAGTGGTGTGGACAGTGTTGTCCTTACTGCTGAGGAAGAGTGGTCTGTGATCAGTCTCTCCATCAGTGAGGAAGAGTGGTCTGTGATCAGTCTCTCCATCAGTGAGGAAGAGTGGTCTGTGATCAGTCTCTCCATCAGTGAGGAAGAGTGGTCTGTGATCAGTCTCTCCATCAGTGAGGAAGCAACCAGGGAGGTATCGTTGGTGATTCCCCCGGTGTCAACGCTCCAAGGCAGGAAGCTAGCTGCTGAGCTGTCAGCACCATGTCTCTGTAGTCTCTGTAGTCTCTGTAGTTTCTGTAGTCTCTGTAGTCTCTGTAGTTTCTGTAGTTTCTGTAGTCTCTGTAGTTTCTGTAGTCTCTGTAGTCTCTGTAGTCTCTGTAGTTTCTGTAGTCTCTGTAGTCTCTGTAGTTTCTGTAGTCTCTGTAGTCTCTGTAGTTTCTGTAGTCTCTGTAGTCTCTGTAGTTTCTGTAGTTTCTGTAGTCTCTGTAGTCTCTGTAGTCTCTGTAGTTTCTGTAGTCTCTGTAGTCTCTGTAGTTTCTGTAGTCTCTGTAGTCTCTGTAGTTTCTGTAGTCTCTAGTTTCTGTAGTCTCTGCAGTCCCTGTAGTCTCTGTAGTCTCTGTAGTCTCTGTAGTTTCTGTAGTCTCTGTAGTTTCTGTAGTCTCTAGATTCTGTAGTCTCTGTAGTCTCTGTAGTTTCTGTAGTCTCTGTAGTCTCTAGATTCTGTAGTCTCTGTAGTCTCTGTAGTCTCTGTAGTTTCTGTAGTCTCTGTAGTTTCTGTAGTCTCTGTAGTCTCTGTAGTTTCTGTAGTTTCTGTAGTCTCTGTAGTTTCTGTAGTCTCTGTAGTCTCTGTAGTTTCTGTAGTCTCTGTAGTTTCTGTAGTCTCTGTAGTTTCTGTAGTCTCTGTAGTTCTCTGTAGTCTCTGTAGTCTCTGTAGTTTCTGTAGTCTCTGTAGTCTCTGTAGTTTCTGTAGTCTCTAGTTTCTGTAGTCTCTGCAGTCCCTGTAGTCTCTGTAGTCTCTGTAGTTTCTGTAGTCTCTGTAGTCTCTGTAGTCTCTGTAGTCTCTAGATTCTGTAGTCTCTGTAGTCTCTGTAGTTTCTGTAGTCTCTGTAGTCTCTAGATTCTGTAGTCTCTGTAGTCTCTGTAGTCTCTGTAGTTTCTGTAGTCTCTGTAGTTTCTGTAGTCTCTGTAGTCTCTGTAGTTTCTGTAGTTTCTGTAGTCTCTGTAGTTTCTGTAGTCTCTGTAGTCTCTGTAGTCTCTGTAGTTTCTGTAGTCTCTAGTTTCTGTAGTCTCTGCAGTCCCTGTAGTTTCTGTAGTTTCTGTAGTCTCTAGTTTCTGTAGTCTCTGTAGTCTCTGTAGTCTCTAGATTCTGTAGTCTCTGTAGTCTCTGTAGTTTCTGTAGTCTCTGTAGTCTCTAGATTCTGTAGTCTCTGTAGTCTCTGTAGTTTCTGTAGTCTCTGTAGTCTCTGTAGTTTCTGTAGTTTCTGTAGTCTCTGTAGTCTCTGCAGTTTCTGTAGTTTCTGTAGTTTCTGTAGTTTCTGTTGAAAGCTGCTGTGTTCTCTCTGTCAGCTCTGGACTTTAGATTGAAATCTCTGGGATTCCCTGACTCTGCAAATGTTGTCAATAAAGTTTATTTTAAAAAAGAAAGAACACACAATCGTTCCTGATCATTAAAATCAATACATTTAAAAAAGTAAACTGAGTTTGGCTCCGCCCCCTGAAATACGAACTGCCTGTCCTCTGTTACGTCCGCAGTCAGGCTGTAAATAGTGACGGTCGAGCAGCATCCACTCATTCACCGTTGACTAACCGACAGTAAGAAAATGTCTGGCCGCGGAAAAGGAGGCAAAGGACTCGGTAAAGGAGGCGCCAAGCGTCACCGTAAAGTTCTCCGTGATAACATCCAGGGAATCACCAAACCCGCCATCCGCCGTCTGGCTCGCCGTGGCGGTGTGAAGCGTATCTCCGGTCTGATCTACGAGGAGACCCGCGGTGTGCTCAAGGTGTTCCTGGAGAACGTGATCCGTGATGCCGTCACCTACACCGAGCACGCCAAGAGGAAGACCGTCACCGCCATGGACGTGGTGTACGCTCTGAAGAGGCAGGGCCGCACCCTGTACGGCTTCGGGGGTTAAAGCTCATCCAGACCCGCTGATAACGAACCAAAGGCTCTTTTAAGAGCCACACACTCTATCTGCAGAGCTCAGTCCTCACAGATATAGAACCTCTATGGACGTGGTCCTAGGATCAGGGTTTACTACTTTATACAAACTACCAGCAGTTAATAATTCATCTTTTCCTTTTGAACTAATAAACCACTCAGAATAAATACAATATGTCGTTTTCCTCACTGATGGAGGCTCTAGGATCACTACTACAGAGTAGACATGAATAGACCGCTATTAAAATGACCCTAACCCCATTAAATCTTTATTTTAACAAAACTAAAGCACCCCCAACCAGAATGACCTGTACAGAGTAAAAGTAATCGTAAATCTAAAATACATTTCAATGTGCAGCATTGAACCCTCTTCCATTATCACAGATTAAATCATTCTGCAGTTTATTACTTTATAAAGATTAAAATAAAGATTGTCTTTGAACAGACATCATCAGTTTCCAGTGTTGATGCTGTTTTAATGTCGACATATTCTTGATTAATCTTAAAACGGGCTTTGTTTAAGGATAAATAATTATATTACATACTGTACATTAATAAATCAAACAATAGTATAAGTTCATTTTAGGAGCTTAAATTCCTGATTTTATATATATAACATTTCAATTCAGTTTTATTTGTATAGCGCCAATTCATAACAGAAGTTATCTCAGGACACTTTTCAAATAGAGCAGGTCTAGACCGAACTCTTTATAACATTAATTACAGAGACCCAACAGTACCACCATGAGCAAGACCTTGGAGACAAGGGCAAGGAAAAACTGCCTGTTAAAAGGCAGAAACCTAGGACAGATCCTCCGGCTCTAGGTGGGTGGTCGTCTGTCTCGACCAGTTGGGGTGAGAGAGAGAGAGAGACAGACAGACAGACAGACAGGTGCACAGCAACAACAGTATTGGCAATGGCAATCTAGCAGGACCATGGCAGGAGGCTCCACCAGGATCGATAAGAACCTGCGAGACGAGAAAGCACAAGAACTCCGGGGAAGAAGTGAAGTTAGTAACATGCATTAATGGGACATGAATGAGTGCAGAAAGAGAGAGGAAGAGAGGAGCTCAGTGCACCATGGGAAATCCCCCGATAGTCTAGGCCTATAGCAGCATAACTAAGGGATGGTTCAGGACTCACCTGATCCAGCCCTAACTATAAGCTTTATCAAAGAGGAATGTCTTAAGCCTACTCTTGAATGTGGTGAGGGTGTCTGCCTCCCGAACCACAACTGGAAGCTGGTTCCACAGGAGAGGAGCTTGGTAACTGAAGGCTCTGGCTCCTGTTCTACTTTTAGAGACTATAGGAACCACAAGTAGCCCAGCATTCAGAGAACGTAGTGTTCTAGTGGGGTAATAGGGTACTATGAGCTCTTTAAGATATGAAGGGGCCTGACCATGAAGAGCTTTATAGGTGAGGAGGAGGATTTTAAATTCTATTCTACATTTTACAGGGAGCCAATGCAGAGAAGCTAGTACAGGAGAGATGTGATCTCTTTTTCTAGTTCCTGTCAGTACTCGTGCTGCAGCGTTCTGAATTAATTGGAGCGTTTTAATGGACTTATTGGGGCAACCTGATAATAAAGAGTTGCAGTAATCCAGCCTTGAAGTAACAAATGCATGGATTAGTTTTTCTGCATCTGTCTGTGATAGTATGTGTCTAATTTTTCTAATATTACGTAAATGAAAGAAGGCAGTCCTAGAGGTCTGCTTTATGTGGGAGTTAAATGACAAATCCTGATCAAAGATAACTCCAAGATTCCTGACAGTGGTGCTAGAGGCCAAGTTAATGCCATCTAGAGTAACTATATCTTTAGACAATGAGTCTCTAAGGTTTTTGGGGCCAAGAACAAGAATTTCATTTTTTTTTTCATAATAAGATCTTATAATATTTATAATGCTGTTAGCAAAGTTAATGAGTGTGCTGATCTTCCACTAATAGATTATTAAATTAATATAAATTAATAAATTAAATAATAATAGATTTGAATTTAAAATAAATGTTTTAATGCTACATATGACTCATGAAAAGTTAATAAAAAATACTGGATGCTTAATGTTTTTAGATAAGACATTACAGAAACAATTTAACAATAAAGTAGAAAACATAAAGAATAAATCCAGATTATCTCATCAGAGGTTAATTGACTATTTAATTACAGTCTTACTGTCAATAACAGTCTGATATATAATCATAGCAAATCTGAACACATACAAACATACCGAATTATAATTATAATAATAATAATTGTTATTATTGTTATTATTATTATTATTATTATTATTATTATCATCATATTATCATCATCATCATCAAGGAAAAACAGGATTATATTTTAGTTTAACTTCCCGCTCTCTGTTGTGTCTCATTGTTATACAACAGCTCTAACAGGAAGTCCACAGGTTCTGACTTTATCCATCATTTATCACCTCAGTGCTTTTATTAATATACACTCTCTGTATATTCATTTATAGTAAGAGTGTTCAATCTATCGGTGTCGCTGTTCTTTTTTATTCCAGGTAGACTGATGTTGGATTGTTTTTATCAGGGTGAAATATATCTTATATTAATGTTTACACTGCTCCACAATATATAACAATCTATAGCCTGGAACATGTATCGATCAATACATGTTGTTGGCTTTAATATGATTTCATGTTTTATTTGAATAATAATAATAATAATGACGAGTCAGCAGCACAGAGTTTAACTTTAAATGTGTAGAAGTATTAGAGCTGTTAACCCCTTAGGAACTGGACATAACAGATATTAATACTGCCTATTGATCAGTTTCTCTGATGTTATTGATGACCTGATGTATCTATATATTATTATTATTAATATATATAATATATAGTTTCCATATAAATTATAGAGAAATAAAAACAGATTTAAAGTTGTTGAATAAAAGTGAAAATATGGATATTAATATTAAATGAATGTAGAAACAAGTGAAAGAGAAATGTTAATAAAGTGCGTCAGTTACTGTAAACTGGAACTGCAGACTCTACAAAGAGTTATTACAAACATTAATTACTGTTTAAGAAACTGAGATCATATATAAAGTTATAGATCATATATTAACTTATTAAATATATATAAATAATGATCTGACTACTCTTAAATATAAAGTTTGGTGGGTTATATGTTGAACTGTATCTGTTAATAAATTAGTTATTACTATTAAATAAAGCTGATAGTTGATAATATAAAGTTATATTCTACTTATTAAATAAAGTCATATATTTATTAACTTATAAAGACACATTATAGTGTAGAACTGTTGGTCTATATAAATATATATAAAGAAGTTAAATATCTGTTTATGGATCTATAAATATTAGAGAGGACTGTGGCTCTGTATCGGAGGTTTGTGGCTCTTAAAAGAACCGTTGTGGTGTCTCGGGTCGGGTCCGGGTCTGGGTTCGGGTCTGGTCCGGGTCTCTACTTCTTGGCGACCTTCTCGGTCTTCTTGGGCAGCAGGACGGCCTGGATGTTGGGCAGGACGCCTCCCTGAGCGATGGTGACTCCCCCGAGCAGTTTGTTCAGCTCCTCGTCGTTGCGGACGGCCAGCTGCAGATGGCGGGGGATGATTCTGGTCTTCTTGTTGTCACGGGCGGCGTTTCCGGCCAACTCCAGGATCTCAGCGGTGAGGTACTCCAGCACGGCGGCCAGGTACACCGGAGCTCCGGCACCGACACGCTGAGCGTAGTTTCCCTTCCTCAGCAGCCTGTGGACACGGCCGACGGGGAACTGGAGTCCGGCACGGGATGAACGGCTCTTTGCCTTTGCTCTGGCCTTTCCGGCTCCCTTACCTCTTCCAGACATCTTCTCACAGTCCGTAATACCGCAGCGGAGCTTCAACCCGGGCTCATATACACACTCTGCTGCTCGCTCATTGGTCACACGGAGCGGCAGTCCCATCCACCAATCACAGAGCAGCTCCTCCAGCTTCCTGTCAGACTGTCATTAATATCAACAATCAATCACAGCCTCACTTCATACACAAATGTATATATCTATAGCAATAACTGCCCCTCTATTGTTTGTATATTGGGAACAAGTTTGCCCCACATCCTGTCACATTTCATTGGTTGCCCTTTAACATTGTACAGGATTGTTTCTGGGGGGCAATATGACAATAGTTAATGTACATTTTGTTGCTGCTGTCATTATTAATCATATTAGTTTCTTCTCCTCATTATTAATCTCTTTGAGCATTTCTGCTTCACCCAGAATAGATATTGGGGGGTCCAGTGTAATTACTGTCTGCAGTATTTCTGATATATGTTTATAACGGTTGTTCCAAAAAACTTCAATCTGTACATTTCCAAAACATGAGCACAAGGTCTGCATTATCTGAGTTACAACACATCTGGTTACAATATGTGAACTTTTGATAAGAACTGAGAGCCTTTCCGCTGCCACTAAGAAGAGTGATGGTGAAATTGGACAGCCTTGTTTTCTACCTCTGTTCACTGTAAAACGAGGGGAAGAACCACCTGATAAAGATATTGAGCTGTTGCTGTCGTGATAAAAGCATTTCATTACGTTTCTGAAATTCTCTCTAAAGCCACTCAGTTCCAAAGATCTGTTCTACCACGTCAACAGCTTTATACAAATACAGACAAAGAATAAAGCCATCATCATTGATATAATCACTGTATTCAAGCAGGTCTAGGACTCGGTGCTCGTTGTTATACATTGATCAACCTCTCATAAATCCTGACTGGGTGTCACTGAGGGTTTGGGAGATTCCTTCTTTGAGACAATTTGAAGATATGAGAGTCAGTATTTAGTAATCATTGTTGAGGAGCTTCCGCTATATACACGTGTACATTGGACACTGTTTCTGCTGCTGTCAGTGTCTCTGTACTCGTCCCTCACACATACACATTTAATAAAAGATCATTTTACTATTCAGAGACTTTTACCTTTAAAACATGATGAATATGGGCGCCCAGTTATCTCAGTTGGTAGAGCTGGTGACCCATATACGGAGTTGCTGCAGCGGCACAGGTTCAAATCTGACCTGCAGCCCTTTGCTGCGTGTCATCCTCTCTCTCCACCCACCTTTCCTGTCTCTCTACAGCTGTC